GTGGGACAGAGGTGCATAATTTCACCACTGATATTTAATCTGTACTCGAAGCACATTTTTGAAAAGGCTCTAAAAGATAGTGATGAAGGTATCTCAATAAATGGAGTCAAGCTCAATAACCCGCGGTATGCGGTTAAAACGGTATAAACGGTTTATATGCGGTATATAGTTATAAACGGTATAAATGCGGTCAAAACTTAATGAACAAAATAACGGAAACAAGTAGAAAATATGGACTGAATATAAACACCAGCAAAACCAAGCTAATTATCATCAGCAAGGAAAATATAACTGAAGGAAATTTGTATGTAAACCAAATGAGAATTGAACGAGTCGCACAATACAACTACTTGGGAACTATTATAAATGAGTCGTGAGACAATACCCAAGAAATTTCGCGTCGGAAAGGCAAATAGTGCATTCTTTACTATGAGTTCTGTGTTCAATGGCTATGACCTCACCCCAGAAACAAAAAAAGGGCCCCTTAAATGTTATGTGCACTTAGTGCTTCTGTACGAAGTAGAAACGTGGGCATTAAAGGAAGAAACTCTATCAAAACTTCAAGCTTTTGAGCTATGGTTATACAAAAGAATCTTGAAGATACCATGGACAGACAAAGTCACCAATAAAGAAGTCCTGCGGAGAATGAACACAACTGCCAATTTGGTCAACATCGTGAAGGGTCGTAAGCTACAGTAATTGGGACATATAATAAGAAATCAAGGCAGATACGATCTATTTCAATGCATTTTACAAGGTAAAATTGAAGGAAAAAGGGTCGCAGGACGAAGAAGAATATCCTGGCTTGCTAACCTGAGAGCATGATATAGAAAGACCTCAACACAGCTATTTCGTATAGCAACCAACGAAGTAATCAAAGCCAGAATGATCGCCAACTTTCGGAACGGACAGGCACCCCAAGAAGAAGAAGAATGAAAAAAAAAATAAATTAATTTATAATGAGTGTTCAGATATATGTCATTTAATATATTTCTCTCTTTTTTTCTCTGTCCTTCTTAATTTTTTTTAATATCCAATGAAAAGATGCATTAATAATCATAAAACAAATAGACACAAAAAATATAAAAAAAACAAAGCAGAAGCCCTCATCCTACTCAACAAACAAAAATGTGTAGCAAACCCATCAGCAGAATTTAGCAGGCTTTGGTTGCCAATACTAAAAGCAAAAGTCAACAACAAGAATATACCTACAATAGCTGAGTAATAGGAGGTCAAAGGCATCGTTTACAATCTAACACATAGCACATATGGAACACAATATACACATAAATAAATACACTTTTTTGCTTAATGTAAGTTGCACAACCACAACTATGATATAGTTTTTTTACACAAACATAAAACATGGAACACACAAAGAAAGTCAGGATTTAATATTCCTAGGGTAAAAACCTCACCCTTAAAATGTGATGCAGTCACTATGGGCTGTTGGCCTACAAGATCTAAGTCAAGCATATCAACATTAAAAGGACATAACCAATAACAAAATCTTTGATAAAACACATTTTTACATAATTTATACAAAAAACCTTTTTTTTACAATTTCCGGGTTAAAAATCGAATAACATAATCCTTTAAGTTCCTTTTAGTTTTTTTCCAGAAAAAAAAGTTTTGAACATATATGTTTTTATATTTTTTTAACTCTTTTTTTTCTATTCGATAGTTTAAATGTAGTCCTTTCCCATTTTCCTACATGTTTCTCTGTTGTTTGCCAGCTGATATTTTCATGTTAGTCACATCATCATTCTGGCTTTCCCAGCACGACGTATTCCCATATTCCCAGACATATAAGCACGTATTCCCATATTTCTCACATCTTTATCGATGTAATCAAGGAGCCTTGTTCTAGGTCTTCCTCTTCTTTTCTGACCAGTGGGTCTATTAAGGAGCGTGCTTATAGCTGGAATATTTTGTTCCATCCGCATTTTATGCCCTATCCACCTCAGACGTCCTATCTTAATATGTTCTACGATATCAGGTTCCTGGTAAATTCTATTAAGTTCGAAGTTGTATCGTCTTCTTCACATTCCATTGTCATTCACTGCTCCATAGATTTGCCTTAGTATTTGTTATTATTTACTCCCACTTAGTAGGAGGATCCGTGCTGGCTCCCATGCTTTTTAGCCTCTACATAGCAGATATGCCAGAAACCACATCAAAAAAGTTTGGATACGCAGACGACTGGACGCTTGCCGCAAGTCATAAAGAATCCGAGGTCACTGAACGCATTCTAACACACGATTTAAATGCCCTAGGGAATTATTTCCGTAAATGGAGATTACAACCCAATCCAACTAAGACAGAAGTGTCCTGCTTCCATTTGTACAACAGGATGGCCAACTATCAACCTCAAATCCATTTTGGGAATAGACTCCTTAAATATAATAAACACCCAAAATACTTAGGTGTTACACTTGACAGAACGCTGAACTTTAAAGAGCATCTTACTAAGACTGCTGCAAAACTCCGAACTCGTAACAACATCCTGCAAAATTTGAACCGAGACGAATTTGGACAACACTCAATAGAATAAGGACGAACTGTGGCAGATGTTCCGGCTCACTTTTTAGATAGGGAAAAATACAATCACCAAATTGCGACTGCGGCGCCGAAAGGCAAACAGTAAAACACATGGTAGAGGAATGCCCGATTAGATCCTATAACGGCAACCCTTCAGATTTCCTGGCTGCTACAAAAGAGTCAATCGAATATTTTTAATCTAGATGTTTGTTTGTAGAATAATATTTTTGTATTTACTGTTGTTTGTAATTAATATAATTATATTATATGTATATATATGAACCTGTGATGTAGCCATACGCTAAATAAATAAATAGTAGGAGTCTATATCTGTCTGGCGTTCTTTATTTACATTTTGATTCCTTAGCCTGTTGGTGATGTTTTTTGAGTACTATTTTGCAATTGCTGCATCTCTCAGCTTTTGCAAATTCCATTTTTTTGTATCCATTTTATTTTTTTTACTGGTGTTTGAAATTCTAGCCCTCAATATTGAGATGCCCAGGCAATTATCTGAGTCTATGTTTGCGCCCCTATAACTTCTACAGTTTATAACGTCTGTTCCGTGCCCTAAATCTATTAAGATGTGATCAATCTGACTCGTTGTTTCTCCATCAGGATAGGTCCAGGTTACTTTGTGTACGTTCCTGTGTTCAAAATAGGTGCCAGCGACTGTCATGTTGAGTGCTGCTGCTAAGTTTACCAGTCCTAATCCATTATCGTTACTGATGTTATGTAGGCTATGCTTTTCTATCGTGGGCATGAAAACTTGCTCTCGTTCTATTGTTGCATGTTTGTCACCAAATACAATCTTAATGCCATTTCTGGGATCTCTCCTGTAGGCGTGCTCTGAACCTTCGAAGAATCGTTCTTTTATTTTCTCTAAATTACTGTAATTAAAGAATTTCCATGTTAATCACAAACAGTACATTCTTTGACTGTAGGCTTTAAAACAAATAATTAGGCCTTCTGTTTTTCGGTTTACAATAAATTCCACCCCATCTTATGTGTTGGCTTTCATTGCATCTATAATATATGGAATGGGTACTCTTGTCAAGAGTGCCAGTTCCCATCCACCGTATTCCCTGCAGTGCTAAAACATCTACTTTATATGTGTTAGCTGTGTCTAGTAAAGATGTGACCGCTATAGCTCTGTAAGGGTTCGGGTATTCCATGTTCCCATTTTCTCAGTCCAATTTTTCGTTTGCAGAGTCGTCGTCGTGAGTTCCTTCCAGCTAATTGTTCCTGAGGTTCCATAACATATGTTTTTCATAGAAAGAGGTTGTTAGCCTCTAGCTCAACTTACAGCCTGGAGGTCAATGGACTCTTCTGTTAGGATTGTCATACCTTAGTCTGCTTTGGTTCGCTGTTTTTTATTTTTATTTCCTAACTACCCACCGGTCCTATGACCGGTTAAGACGTTTCCCTACACACCACCTGGTGACGCGTCTGGTGAGAGACAGACAATTTCTCACGGACATGTTAGTCCTACAACACCTTTAATACAATCGTTCCACTAATTCCTTCTTGTAGGACTCTGCTATAACTAGATCATAAGCGTGTCTAAGATGATTCAAATACTTTCTATTGAGAAAAGTCCTTCACTTCTGCTGTAAATAGTTTTAGAAATATTGTATCATCCTGCCTCTCACCACGATTTATTTCAATTGTATAAACAGTTGCCAAAATTTATAAACCTTTTTTGTTTACCAAGTCGTCTTCTATACAGTCTATCTGGAATTTTCTCTTTATAGGAATCTTCTTAGACATCCCATTTTTAATCCATTATTGTACAACAAAATGAGTTGAGGGGAAGGGAAGTTTTGGAAAACCTCTCTAAACATATAGAATAATATAAAATAATATATTCGCTACTTCGGTATTATTAATTTTCCACGGCATGCAACAGATAACAATTTTTATAAAAAGGTTTTGAACCGTTTTGGAAAAATATTTAAAAAATCGGTTTTATTTTGTAACTTTAACCCCCGTAACGTTTGCATATAGGTAAATCCGGCCAAATGGACTAATTTTAATTCCTAAAAGTCGTGATACAACTTATGATCAATCTTTTTGTGACACCCTGTTAATATTTTCGTTATTGATACGAAAACTTTAAATATAATAATGAAAATAACTTAGCTGTTTATTATTCCGTCGATCAGCCATTAAACTAACAAATTACCAATTATATGCACAAGGTACTATCAACATAATCGAACAGCAATGACCAATTGACCTGATTCATCTCAGAGATACTTCACGACGTTAAAAAGATCATAGAGCATGAAGCGATCGGCTACAAAAACGTAAAATGGATTTCAGTAAGCGCATCGGTCTACAACGCCAATGGGAATTGTTATGTTGAAAAAAAGGAATGCTGAAGGACGAAGAAGTACACGTCGCTGTAAAGGAGTAGTATCTTCACTATATAAACCAATATAAGGGGAGGTGAGGTCTTTAGTATTAGCTGTATTTGTGTACTTTTTTTGGTTTAATAAATATGAGACGTTCAATAGTAAGTAGAAATATTTAGTATTATTCTAAAGTTCCTAATTAGATAAGTTGTTGTTCGGTCTATTTTTTAAAGTTAAAAAACACATTATAAGCTAATATCAAAAATATGTCAGTATTAATGAGTTTATTTCCAAAAACTGTTTTTCTTCTCTAAATTATATTAAAACCATTTATTATCATTTAATAGAAAGAGCTATAATATAATTATTCAGTATTCAAAATAATTATTAGCAAGCCATTAAAACTAAAATATTTAGAATATAAAAAAAATTAATCAAAGCTTATTTTGATATTGCATTAATAAAACAGCAATGTGTAGAATTTTAATACCTTTTGTATCTAACAGGAAAAAATATTGTAATTTTCCTGAGATAAAAAAAGGTTCTTAACCTTGACAAAATATTTTGTCTTTTTAAAAATAGTAGCGGAAACAGAGGAATATATGGAGAGGATAACTGAATAGAACAACTATGTTAACTGAGTTTAATGAAAATGAGTATTTGGTGGTATTATAGTGATTAAAAACAAAACAACTCAAGTATAGTATGTTTCAATTATTTTGAAAATGGCTTGCACAATTTATACAAAAATTTTGGTTTTTGATGATTGTGTGATATGACTGTATTGACATTTTGGTAATGATTGATGGTGTTGGTTTTGTTTTAAAAAATTTAAAAATTTTGTTATTTTTGGTATTTTAAATAGATGATCCTTATAAATACTAAATATTTTTCATATAATGTTCCCTATTTCTAAATGTTATAGTCATCAGTCTTGGAAAGAGTGACTCACGAATTTAATTATAGACTTAAACATTCTCAGGAGGGGAACTAGGAGTATTTTGAATGTTTGAAGTGATTTTTGACTTATTATTCTCATTAGTCTAAGTTAATAGATTCTTCGTATTGGGAGAATAAGATATTTACGTTGTACATTAGCAAACCATCCTAACATAATATGCTTTCTGCTTTTGGCATCAATTGGTCCAACGCCGAGACTTTCTTTAATATACTTAATTTTATGTTTACCTTTTTTGTCACTCCACTTATCCTTCTTATTAATCTCATTTTTAAAACATGCATTCTATGTTGTTATTTATTTTTCTTGATCCAACATTCAGTTCCTTATATCATTTTTTCTTCAGCTTTATTGGAATTTTTCTGTCACACAATACACCACCCCCTTCAACAAAGTGGATGGTTTACCTACACCTTAACATACCACGAATAATTAACCATGAGAAAAACAATTTTATTTTTCATATTTGTTCACAAACAATAAATAATAACCTTGCGATTTATTTATTGTCATAACTAATGCCAGCCGAATCAGATAAACTAAATTTGTTTAAATTCGAATGGAATATCGGTTGGTATCATTGGAATTCTCTGAATGAGGACTTCTTCATCTTTTAATTTTTCTTTGAGTATTCACTTCGTATTTTGAGTATTTATGCCATGTCCTGGTTTAAGGCCTTCATCGAAGCCTTTGTTTTATTTCACCATATGCAAAGAACTGCTTACAAAATACTAACAAATATTCTCGACGGCAGGCTACAAGTTTACACAGTTGCCATAGTTGGAAAATACTATGCCGGATTTACTCCAGAAAAATCAACAATTGGCCAGATTCATTTAATAGGACAGATCCTTGAGAAAATAATATAATTTAACATTGAAACCCATTACATATAGGTCGACTTCAAGGCCGCATACGAGAGTGTCAAGAGAACAGTACTATATCAATGCGTGAGTTTAGTATTGGGACCGTGCAAGTTCGGAACAGCGACACCCGGTGTCGTAAATCAGCAAAATTTACTGCGCTTTCATGTTATATTGAAGTTACGGGATAACTGTCAAGGACGTAGGCCCAGAAAAGAATAAGAAGAAAAAGTAAGATTAAGGTTATGTCGGTATGTTAGTAAAAGGTAAACGTTGTATCTAGTGTAAATATAAATAAATATACCTATTATTAAATTACAGTATTACTGTTAATATGGATGCAATAATAGAGACTGGATTTAAGAAATCAAATCACCAAATAACTTTTCAACCAAGCACTAAGTCAAAGGGAAAGGCTTTAGTAGTGGCAAATGTCAAAAAAGAATGAAATAATTATATGGAAGAATTAAGAACAATAAATTACCATAAATAATGCTAATGCATAAATTAGCAGGTTAAGCCGATAATATCATCATATTGGTTTGAACAATTAATTCTTTCCCTGTAAACTTTTGGACAGCGAATATATCTTAATGCATCTTCAGAAAAACTTGATGCATTTTTGTTAACTTCAAAAAAATAAAATTTAAACATTAAACTTGATTTTTGGGTTAAAATGAACTCTAAGTGAGTATTATGAAACTAAAATTCACACTTAAAAGTGAACTTTTATTTATTATTTATTTCAAACTGACTTTAAAATCGAGAGCAAGGATAATGCATAATTTAGATTATGCTACTTATGCTTTTTTATGATATAAATCCACTTTTCTCTTTGTAGTAATTTGTGCTTCGAAGTTGGAAACGAATAAAACTTACATTGACAATTTTTTGTTGTATTTTTACAATTTATAACACAGCAGTTCCTAAATCCCATTTTCTTCAGTGACAGAAGGTGTAAATAAACAAACGAATACGAAATATGACAATTGACAATATGAATTTATGAATTCTATGAAATGTGCAGTAAAAAATGCAAGATTTCTCCGCTACTCGCGCACGATCGTTTCTCGTATCACATCCAAGTACTTGCACGTCGCCAATACCAGAAAAACTTATCCGATTAACGAGAATGACAATGCCTAACTTAAAAGCCAGCGTTAGGATACAGGGAGAAAATGCTTGATACTTTGAGATAAAGGATGGAGTCAGACAAGAGGATGCCCTGGCTTGCCTCCTCTTTAACACTGCCTTGGAAAAGGCAGTGTTAGCAGTGTTACAAATCTTAACATAGGCTGAAGACATTGGCATAAGAGGTTGTATAAAGTGAGATGTTGAGCAAAATTTTCTTGCATTGGAAACAACAGAAAAACAGGTAGGTCTAGTTATCAAGAAGACAAAACCAAGTACATGTTGGTTACTAAGGATCCTATAGCATTTCATAAGGAACGGCAAATGGAAGTTATATCTTTTAACGTGTTGACAGCTTCATATTGGATTGCTAGTGACTACCACCAATAAATCAAGCGAAGAAATTAAAAGAAAAATAAACCTTACAAATAGGGTATACTATGGACTCCAAAAAATGTTTATAATACCTATTATATAAAAAAATATTACATTTGAGAGATATTTAAAGAAAAACTAAAATTATTAGAATAAGACAAAACATTACCATAAACGATCATAATTTTAAGGTGGTCAAAGAATTCAAATACCTAGAAGCAACAATTACCAGTGAAAACACAGGAGAACGGGAGGTTGAAATACGAATACTGGCAGAGAATAAATCATTCTTTGCCATTCAACATCTAATGAGGTCAAAGCTTCTCTCAAGGCGTGCCAAAATCCAAATGTACAAAATCATAATACGACCAGCAGTGACATATGGAAGTGAAACATGGACATTGAGAAAGAAAGAAATCAATAAGCTATTAGTATGGAAACGCAAAATCCTGCAAATTATATATGGTCCTTGCAGGGACAGCGTGACAAATGAATGGAGGAGCAGATACAACAATGAAATAGAGACTCTCTTCGGGAAAGGAAACATCGTAAGATACATAAAAGCCAATAGATTAAGATGGGAAGGCCACGTGGTACGGAATGATGACGACAGACTGATTAGCAATGTGTTTTGGGAAAGACCAGATGTTAAAAGATCGACAGGAAGGCCTAGAAAAAGGTGGAAAGACGCAGTCAGGGAAGACCTGGAGAAGATGGAAGTAAGGCCATGGGTAATAATAGCACAGGATCGGATTCAATGGAAGGCAATAGTAAACGCGGCAAAAACTCACGAAGAGTTGTAAAAGCCAATGATGATGATGACTGTTAGGACCGGTCCTCACATACAGGGCGGAAACATGGACTCCAATGTAAAAGGATGAAAGACTTTTGGGAATATTCGAGCGTAAGATACTCCGCAGAATATTTGGAGCTATAACCGGTAAAGGGCAGTGATGCAAAAGAGTTAATTTCGAATTATTCCAATTCTTAATAAACCAGATATTGTAATGTTTATTAAAATACAGCAACTTAGATATCATAGCTAAAAAACTAACGGCAAACTAACCCAAATCTACTCGGCGTTTTTAAGGTGAAGAAAAATAATTACCACTAGTACTTGGCATTGAATTCATATTGTTATCTACACTAATATGGCTCTAAATAGTTCTGAGACGAACTGTTTTTTATATAAATGTAAACGAAAACTCTAAAAATGTAAGAAATAACGCGGAAAATACAAAAAATCATTGATATAAATTTTGAATTTTAAAATTTCACAAATGTCATTAGTGTCAATATGTCATAATTTAGTGGAGTAAACTTGCCTGCGGTTGGACCAATTACAAACAAGCATCACGGCGCGGAAAATTTGAATTTCTCCTCCTGGTTAAAAAACAGACCATAGTATGTAGAATTTATTTAGTAATATTTTAGTTTAAATAAAATTTCATTTTTTTTGCTAATTGCTACAGCTTCTGGCTCACACGTTAATGCTCAGAAAAAGTTTAAAATATAAAGATCTTGTCGCTTTGTGCTATTAAAATTTTTTAACTAATTTTAACTAATTAAATTTTAATTAAAAAAATTAAATTAATTTAACAAAGTATTATAGAACTTGTATTTAATAAGATATGATATTTTCATATTACAATATGCGTCAATAACTCTTTTGTATCTTTTAGTTTCAGTTATACTTACAATCATTCACAAAAATTTATTATCCTTCAATAAAAAATGAAAGAGTTTTTTAGTTTAAATTAGATTATTAATGTTTTCCCACGAGCATAAAATGACAAACATTCCTAACGTATCGTCTTTCGTGTACCGCAAATAG